GGGCGTAAAGAAAAAGGGCAGTCGAGCCACTCCCACCCCGACCAAATGAACTATTATTAGCGAGGAATGAAAACAATAAACGTAGAAAGAAAATTAAAATATTTATTATTTCCACAACCTGTGCCCGAAAATTAGGACCAGAAAGGTCATGTCGGCGAAGTCAAAACCTTTATAAATACAAATATTACTTGGTGAGAGAGAGAAAGGTCAGTACTTCAAAGGTATATGTACTTGGAAAAAAAAATTAAAAATAGGTGGTGGTGGGGGGGAGAAATCTTGACATCAGATTGTTCAGCATCCACCTCCACCAACGGATCATAATCTCTTCAGATGAAAGAGAGGTTTATAATTGTACGTTTCTACAGTTTGAATAATTAAATAAACAAGTCGACAATGAAATGGACCAAAGATATTTTTTTATTTCCACTATTTTTTTTTCAGAGAGCAACAATAATTTACGTCTTTCTTTTTGAAAATGACAAGTAAGGAAGAATAGACTATTCTGTATATTCTACATATAAATAATATAATATATGATATAAATAATACATACAAATAATTAAGGAATTTTTGAAAATGATATAAGGAAGAATATACTGTTCCGGGTATTTTTTTAAAACCTATTTCAGAAACTTGCAGTTGTTTTTTTTCTTTTCTTTTTTTTCCAGTCAATTCCTTAGAAAGTCCAACTCCAACGGAATTTATTTGTTTATCGTTCTTAAAGAAATAAATATTTAATACCCAATAAGCATGAAAACATCCTGTCATATAACACTTAAAAGGCCACACAGTTTAGTATTATTATAAATATATTATATATATATATATATATATATATATATATATATATATATATATATATATATATATGGCATATGTATCATAAGGCCTGCTATAATTTCCATGCCTCAAACCGGAGGGGTTTGCAATTTTTGTTATAGTTTCTTGTGTTATAAAGTGATCTTTAGATTCATTAAGTTTCGGGACTCGCCTGCACGCGTGCGCGCGCAAACACACAAAACAATATCGATAGCGTATACCATAGGGGCGTGCAGTAAGCCTACTTATCGTAAACATATCCTGAAAACTTTATCAATATCTATTGATCAATATTAATTTTATTGAGGGTACATTGACATGTACAACAATGTCCGACATAGTGTAATCAAAAGTAGACATGAAGAGTTCAATATTACCCGTGGTTTCAGTCTTCCGAGTTCTTAAATATTTGTACGAATAAAGAGAGGGCGTAATTAGAATTAAATAATCTGAATGATCTTTTAGAATCAACCGAAATATTGTGACTATAACAAACAAAATATGCTTGCTGGTCCAAACAGCAAAATGTTACGTAATTACTCTACTTATCTGTCTATATCTCTGAGATGAGGTATTATGATTATTTACATTATTCAGACTGTTATCCTCATCTTCATTGACATATTCACAACGTTTCGGCAATGAAGATAAGATTAACAGTCCGAATAATGTAAATAATGTAAATACTCTATTTATATTTAATAATCTAAGCTTAATAATCAAGGAGTTGTTTATTCTAATGTTATCTTCCTTCTTCGGTAGGCCAAATCATTTTGTGGATAATGGCTGGAAATGAGATGACATTCTGGAATGAATTCTTATCATTACACCATATGTTGTTCAGACTAAAATTTCATCTTTCTTATTGTAGTGATATTGAAGTGACTGCCTAATTAGCATAACTAAGACAGAGACTATATAAGTACAGAAGCAGTAAGGGCACGGACAGAATACGATGCGCAAGTCTTGCAATATTTGATGTGTCCTATCTTGTCTATCATCCCTCAGTTGTGCCTCTGTCTTCAGACAGAGCGCAACAAAAAAATTGAAAGGTGCCTGGTTTCGGGGAAACACATGTCCGCGACAGTACCTCCCTCTTTTGCACTAGAGAGGAAAAGGATCTGGAGTAATACCGATGGTTGTTGGGGGTTGAGCTATTTTTGGTGAATGCCCAGGTGCAAACGCTCGTCTCCCCATATTAAACTGACCTCGTTCCGTTCCCTTTCTGCATAGAACGAATAAGATACGCGAATCTTGCGAGTTTTCAGTTGTAGCTTTCTTCGGTCAGAGCACAACTTTGTTATATTTTTATCTTCAGGCAAAGCGCCCCCCCAAAAAAAAATATTGAGAGGAATCTGGTTTCTCGGTGCAATACCTCTCTCATTCCACTAAAGTGCAGGATCGGTAGTCATTCCGTTGACAGCGCAACTGACAATCGCGGAGGCTGGGCTATATTTTATATTTTAGGACCTGTCTCCGGCTCCCCACATTAAACTGGGCTTGTGTCGCAAGGATTGCTTTGATTTTCATATAAAAATAGTTCTGTTTAGGAATATTGTCTTATATAGTGAAAAGTGTTTGAGATTTGCATTTTACTTGACCTTCATCAAGTTGACATCTATTTGTAAAACTTGCCTTAAGTATAACAAGCCAATTTATGAATGAAATGTTTATTTAAAATTTTTATTTCAAGTAGTGAATATATCTTACTTTGCGAAGCGAAAGTACAGATCTAACGGAGCCATTTACGAAACTGTGGAAAAAGAATGCTGAATTCATATGGACCGAGGAACAACAAAAAGCTTTTGCTAAGTTAGTTAGCAAAGAACCCAGTTGTGAAAATTTTTGACTCCAGAAAGGAAATTATGTTGACTATAGACACCAGTGAACATCTAATATCTGGAATATTATCACAAGGACATCCAATAATTTACTTATCAAGAAGTTTGACAAATGCTGAATTTAATTATTCAAAAATCGAAAAGGAGGCCGTAGTTGACGACTATTAGAGCTCAACAATGTTTTATTAGAAAAAAAAATTATATAGCGACCATAGACTGTAAGAATTTATATTTAAACCAAGGAAAGAATTATCCAACGTTATGACAACGTTATTGAGGTGGGCAACAAAATGGCCTCTGAAATATGTTAAACGAAATTCAGTTCTACACATGAATGCATTATCGAAGTTGTGATTTTTCAAAAATCCAAAAAGAATATAAAGAAGATTTTGATGGGTGGAGACTGAAAGACTTTGGATAGAATGGCTGCCGAACCTATACAGGAACCAGTACTAAAAAGCATAACATTAAGAACACGTGGGGTAATTATTCCATTGCAGCAAGACCATACAACGAAATAAGGAACAAATTAGCAACTTGGAATGGAGGGATTTGTAATGGTGATACTGCTAGAAACTCAAAGAAATCTCGTAATAAAAATGTACATGATGACATACACTGTGGAAGAGTATCTACGCAAAAAAAAGACCTAAGTTAGAAGCATGGTGATCGGGATATTCACGAGATGTGGTGGAATATGTGAAAAGATCTTGGAACTGTAAAGAAACAAGGGACTTTACGAAAAGTCAACTGCACACGTGGCTTAAAGAATTAAGCTTATAGAATCGCGTTCACATGGATCATGAGTTAATGGAGTGAGACTCTTATTAATATTTCTATGCTGCTCTGAGATAATTCGTGTACCTGACATAAATTTTAAGTCATATTCTCTGGAAACAAAATACCAAAATCCCTGGTATCTGACGACGCTTTGGAATTTTGCGACATAAGAAAAATAGGATGTACACTGTGCAAGACACCTCCACATCCTCCTCAGAATGGGATTGCAGAAAGAATGGTGCAAACTATAAAGTTGGAGCAAATGGCATGTTAGCAAGAAAAATAGAAATCTTCCTAGCGAGACTGCTTTTAACTTAGCACGCTATTCTACAGGCTGGAAGGTTAGAAAATCCGTTTACCTTAATGGTAAGGCAAATCAGAACTGCATTAACAATGTCATATTCTATCGTTGAAAGAATGTGGTATAAAAAGAATCAGTACTAAGTTCCCGAATAGACAAATTTCAGAATGAAATAAAGAAAGAAAACAGCTGTAATACTAAGAAATGGAGGTAGTATACTTGCCCATTCAGGTCAAAGAGCGAATACATATCTAATATTTAAAATAATGATGTTTCCAAACAAAAAAACCTACCTTTACAGGATGAAATGTCTGAAGCGGAACATATGGATGATAAAGATTAGCTATAATGAATACTCTGAAATGAAGACGGTTCTGAATGCGAAACAAAGCGAGATCTCTATTAATATTTCGGAAGATAGAATAGATATCAAAGAAACACCGAAAACAAATGGTGAGTTATTATCCAAAAAGGACATTTTTGGCACAAGGCCGAAGGGGAAGTGGAAAGTGGCTGGTAAACTATCCTAGACCTAACTAATCAGATTTACGACTCATTCGTCCATTAAAAATTTACTTATTCACCACAAGAACTCATCCACGCCATTCAATCTTACATGTACCACAATACCACATATTCACAAGGAACCTAAAAAACACCCATGACATAAAAATTTAATTATGTGCAAATACCCAAAATGGTTTTTCTTATCTTTTTTTCTTACAAAAATGGCTAAAATCATGAAATGAGGTGGGTGGGGGAAGAGGATGAACCTCGAAAACGAATGAAGGATCAGAAGAAGTGACTGAAATACCCGGGGTATAATATCCCTGCGTTTTAGGGAGATGTAGTGATATGTAAATGACTGCCTAATTAGAATAGCTAAGGCATAGTCACTATATAAGTGCCTAAGTAGTAAAGAGCAAAATATAATACGCGAGATTAACGAAATCTAGTGGACTGAGATTATACGAAGGAAATCACATTAGTCAACATCTCTGAATATGATTATGGCTGTATAGAGTAATAATCAGAATATTGGTATCGTGGAAAGATCAGTATATCCAAAAAAGACTAGTTTTACCCCTGTGCCAGCTTAAGTTAAAATTAAACATGGAGATCATCTTTCCTGGTTAGCGAGCAATGGACGTTGTTTTCATGATGCTTCGTTGTTGCTGAAGCCAAATGTGCTGAGAAATTGTCCACCATCAGTGGCAGTTCGTCAGTAAGACCAAATGAAACCGCTCACGCTAGCAACAATGGCCCACAACTACCTCAAGTCAGAACAGCTCACAATCATCCATCAGCCACGAGGCAGGACCAAGAAACAAAACAAAACGATTCCTACATTCACTTCTTTCCGCGTTCTCTGTCGTCTGCTCCTCATGTCTTCCACAACTGTTGCGGCGTTTACTGCAGAAGATAAATTCCTGACATTTTTTTTCTTTTTTTATTTCCTTTTTTTCCTCCCTCATAAAGAAGGCCATTTTTGTAACCATAATAGTCGCCATACTCTCTGCGATATTTGCTGAAGAAATTCAGAATCAGTATCTAAAGCCACCATATAAAATCTAAAGCCACCATATGAAACCTAAAGCCACCATATGAAATCTAAAGCCACCATATGAAACCTAAAGCCACCATATGAAATCTAAAGCCACCATATGAAATCTAAAGCCACCGTATGAAATCTAAAGCCACCGTATGTATTGAGAAAGGCGGGAAAAGCATATCGATCAACATAAAGTGAGTGCAAAGTAAAGATAGGAGAACTCTCCGGAAAATACCCAACCATCTAAAATAAAGTGTTGAGCGATTACGATATAACTTGGCAAAGTTTTACAGGTACTGTATATTGAATTCAGTGTTTTCCTTCTCTTATGCTGGTTGTAATGGATCCTCTGCTATTTAATCCATGGCTAGTGGAGGAAAGGTAGGCGGACTCATGCCTTTCCTATGGTTATTTGTGCGAAAGTAAATGTAACGAACCCGGTTGCTGCTTTTCTATTTCCGTATCGATAATTGTTAAACTACAGGAACACCTATGATTAGATGTTGTATATTACATCCCAGTGAATATTTGCCAATCATCTTGCAATTAAAATTTCTATATCACAGACTTGTACTTGTACAAGAGAAAACCGAAAATGATTATAAACTTGAATTCAGTGAAAATTGCGAAGAATGATAAATACTTGTATTTTTTAAAAAATTATTTCAGTATCAACGCATGCAAGGCAGTAAAGCCACTAAGACACAAAGGGACAGATTACGTTCATTTCGCACTAGTGCCCTTGAGAAAGGCTAGAAATTACTTATCTCCTTCTTTGATTTATGAATAAATCATAAGGCAGTCCATTTTGGGAATCAAGCTAGCAGTCCGATCCGCTAAAAATTCACACGACACTCTAACTGCCGTAAAATGACTTAGTATAGTTGTGACGCAATGAGTCGGTCAGTATTAAAAAAAATAGTCTTCTTTTATTTTAACTTAGAAACTAAGTAATTTCTTGAGTGATGTCTACCGAGTTTCTTTGTTGTCAAATTGTTATAGATATTTGGTATAATCAAATATTCATGACGGAAGTGGTTATCCCATGTACCACTGATCAATGAGTCACAGAAATCTTCTTTCTCATTATTTCTTGTCATGTGTTTATATAACTATATTAATCATTTTTATTGATTTAATAAAAAAACACGACAAACATCAATGTAATGAGATAATGCTAACGGTTTCTTTTCTCGCACTTCTCGCTTGTGGAACACCCTTCCGGCTCCATGCTTTCCAGCCAACTTTAATCTGCCAAAAATTTAAATGCAATGTCAATCGCTATCTACTGTCCTCATGATTACTTTTTCTTCTTCCCGCTCATTATTACTTCCACACACTGTAACCCATTGTGTCTTAGTGGCTTTACTGCTTTGCTAAAAAAATTATCTTTAAAAAAAATTATCAATTGATGAAGGCCGCAAATTAAAGGTGAATAAAACAATTATGGTAATTTAATGTTATAAAATAATGATGGTTTGCATAAGATTTTATTCACTCTCCTTCAACCAACGGAGCCTGCAAATGGCAATAGATTTCTCAAATATATTTCGTGATAGAAAAACACGTAAGGAGAAATAAATCTCTAGCTTTCCCAAAAGCATCAGTGTTAAGTGAGCATTCGTATTTCGTTTGGCGATTCTGTTCTACCAACCATTAAGCCACCTCTTAACAGTGCGCTAATTATACAAGTCTGTTGAGCACACAACTTCCATTTCCTATCAACCAACGCAATATCATCATCTGAAACTCGGTTCAGTATCATCATTTATCTCAGCACCGACATTGTAGACACCGTTATCGGACTTAACGAAATATCGAAATAGAATCTTAAATTACTCTCAGACCTCTTTTATATTTCCATGTGTTCTTTTGCCTGTAAGTCTATCGTTTGTTTGTTTTCAAAAGGAATTAACAAAGACCTAAGAAAAAATGGTTAGCTTTCGATGTTAACTCTCTTTGAACGTAGAAGCGCTTCATACGATTGTTTGCCATAAAAGAGGGATTAGAAAATTAACATCTTAGGCAATTATCTAAAATTTCGATCCACCATGAACATACAGCTATTATACCTTTTACTAAAATAAATAAAATGATCAACATTTCAAATCTAAATTGTTTGTCCATTTCAACTACTATATTTATTAGAAAATATATTCAGCTTAAAAACAAAAGGAGTTATAAACTGACTTTAAATGGAACCATACTTCGGCTTATACTATTTTCCTATTACTCAGGGGTTGTTGTCAGAATGGGAAATTAACCCTTGCGATACAGATGAGCATTTGAAAGTAATTCAAATTATTTTTATGCATTTTTCAATTTATTGATAAACAGATAATTTTTTTCCATAAATTTAAAAAATACTTTGGAAACATAATTTTATTTTTACGGAATAATTTCCGAAAAGTTCAATAAACGCTTACAGTTATCTAGATGGGTGACCGCTTAGGAATACCTGGTATCGTTGAGGTTGGTGTAATGGATAAAGGCTCGGAGAGTCGAGTTCCAATTCCAGTTGGCTTCGTTATAATCACTTACATGAAAATACCTTTGAGAAAGGCATGAATCCACTTCTCCTCTCAGCTGTCCATTAATTAGTAAAGATCTGTGTCACTAAATCATTATTATCTCAAAAAAGTTCTTACAATCTAAAAATATTTTTTGGCTTTAAATAACCTGCAAAAGGCCGATAAGCCGAAGAAGACGTATCGATAAATAATGATTTTTTTTTTTTTTTTTTTTTGGTGTGGAGTGGGTAGTTAAAAGATTAATGGGTTTTCCACTGAGTTGTGCCATTTTCACGCTCATTCTTCATTTCTGCCATTTTTACACGAATCTCTTGTAGGTTACCAAGATCAATATACACCTGAAAGGACAGAAACGTTGTGACAACCTCAGAAAAGATAAGGAAAATAGTTGGAATAAAAATAATGATCTCCTCATCCCCGAAATTCGGTTTGGTTTGGTTTGTTTTACGGCATATCAACCTCTATGTGTTATTTAATGCCGACAATATTTTATTGCTGGTAAAATTATTTTTCTTCAAAAATTCACTGCTAGTTTTACAAAAATCTATTGCTGGTATTAAAACTCATTTTTACACTTTCATAGTGTTTCGACTCCAGTTTGAGGTTCAACTATTTACCCATAGTTGGGACCCTGGCAGGTGGTACCACCCAGGGTCAAGGGGAACCTGAGAACACCAGCAATTAAGAGGTGGTTCCACGCTCCTCAAAACCTCTTGATCAGAGGCCTTCCTGTTTGATCCGAAATTCGAACATATATGTAAGTGTACATGTTGTCTGGTCTGGTTTCCCGCACGTTGAGAGCGCTCAATATTTATTGTGCATAAAATACAACAATTGTGGCCCAAGGCCTAAAAGGGGGAGTGACTTGAGGCTGGTCGAGACTATCTTATACCTGGATAATCAGATTCATGCCCCATTCATTCGTTCATTCATTACAATTTGTACATTCACCATCCATCATCATTCAATCTTACATATACCACACAAAGAGAGAGAGGGGGGGACCTATAAAACGCCCCATGACATAAAAATTTCTTTGAGTATAAAATTACATATAAAAATTTATCGACGGTAAATGAGGGGGAAAACAACCCGAAAACAACCTAAAGCATAACAAAACACAAAAACTAAAGATAACTGATGTTAGTAAGGCCCGTTCACCCCTCAAAAAAATAAGAAGGCTGCTGTAGTCTGTCTTCAGACAAAATCAAGAGCTTCCCCCGCTAAGGGAGAGGGAAGGCTAAAATAAATACAGCCATGGGAAAAAAAAACTGACACAGTCGAGATGATAAAAAGGCCAAAACAAATTGGGGAGTTTGGGAATCTCGACTGATTATAACCAAAGAGGAAGCCGGGAACAGGCCAGAAACGACACTTATTCACATTAACTAGGTACACAAAAAAAGTCTATCCTAACCAAGGGAGAGCTCCACAAGAAACCGCCACGTTATGACTTAGGGAGACAAAGAAAATCAAAGCTAGTTCCGTTCACGCGGACCAAGCTTGTCACAGTTACCCACCTCTTGCTGAAATCTGTCAATACCAAATATTTTCTATCAGCTCTAGTCTTCATCCTGCGCTGATACTGAAAGAATTGGATTAGATCCTGATGAGAGTAATGTTTCTCTATCTGCGTCGTCCAAATCACCATTCTAGCCGTCGCCAGAATCATCAGAAACACCATCCATTTCACCCCAGAATACGGATGGACACTTGTCACACGCGACTGCGAGATCAATGAGTACGAGTTTTTTCTGGAGCACTACGAGCCGTCAACTCGCCGACAAATTCCCAGAGAGAGCGCACCCGATGACAATGGTAGAAGGCGTGCGAAGCCGTTTCTTGTAAACCAAGCTCACACCGCTGACAGTCTGGCAAATCCTCCAAACCACATCTGAACGCCACATCAATGAGAGACAGCCTATTCCGAACCAATTGCCAGGTAAGCGAAAATTCAGGGTTACGCCCAAGTCCAAAAAGAGCACAACTCGTACGCCGACAACCTGAGCCGGCCGTAGAGTAGATCCTTCGCAACGTTCTCCACTAATTCCCGATACAATATTCTTCTAGGCCAAGAAAGGTCACTGGATCAAGGAATGATCAACAAGGTCGATCGACACTCTAAGAGGAAAAGCGATTGATCCCGGGGCTTACAAATGCGCTCAGCTCTCGAGACGGGAGAAGTGATGGTAAGGTGAGGGAAGGCGGCCCTAACACTCCCCTACAAAATCGAGTCCTTTGTCAACGCTCGGCATAGGAAAGCCTACTATGAGGTATGTCGGTGACTCGCCAAGTGTTGCATTCCCGACTGCTCCCCATGAAACAGACGTTGGTCACAGACAACTCTGTCGACGCGATACTTGCTTCCACCCTACAAGAGGGAGAAGATCAAGTGCTGGATCGTATTCTTACGCTCCTTACAGAGAGGAAGTACTGACAACTCGAAAAAGGATGAGAGGAAAGACGTAGTTGGCACACGCCTCGGCCCTAACCTTCAAACACAACCTCCTTCTACACTTAGTCTCAACCGCCGCGCCGACCATTACCAGTTCTTCTGACCAATTTTTCTCTAGCTGGAATCCGGGCCTGAATCACACGCCGAGAATGCGGACGGGCCCGTCTGTCCGACCAAAGGTCCCCGAAGGATCGACCCACGTCCAGGCAACTAACAGCAAACCGGGGGACTTCACGGTTAATCTTGGCCCCCGTGATCTTTTCGTGCCATTAAAAGGCCTACAGTACCACCTTAATGTCGCTGTGGGACGACACGAAAGTAGATAGGTCATCAGCGTTCGCAGAAACCTTGGCTCGATCCCTACTTTAGACAGACGGCGAAGGAGAGCCTCTAGGAGGAGCGACAGCGGGAAACTCTGACGAACCAACCGAAACAGTGCAAAAGCGACAGAGAGAGCAATACAGAAGGCTAATCCACAGGCAGAAGCCGGGTTCGAATCTGGCAGCCAGGTACCGGTCGACACGATCAAATGCTTTGGAATTATCCAAATTGATCAGCATGGTTTGCTCGTTGACTTTTAGATCCTCTAGGATTGTGCGGATCAGATCTTGGTTGCTCTGAATTGTTTGGCCCTTCAGGGACCATGTCTGCTCGGGTCGCAACACAATCTCGGGAACTGACTGAAAAAGCTCCGACAGGATCTTGGCTAAAATCGTTAACTATGTGTTCAGCAGAGTTATGGGTCTGTGATCATCTAAAACCGGACAATACCCTTGCTCTTTTTAAACGGCGTGATCAGGGACGGACCCCTGGCGGAACCAGTTGTTCACAACATTCAAAATCGGAACAAAGATGTGCAATTCATAGGGCGGACCATCAAATCCTGGAGACTTGCCACTGCCGACCTTCTTCAATGCCAAGTAGACTTCACCCTCTGTGATATCACCCTCACAGCTAGCCGCTTCAATCCGCGAAAGCCAAATAGCTGCGAAAATCTTCGTCACAGAAGACCAGGTGCCTTGGTAAACTGGCTCTCGAAATGCCGCCGAAACGCCGCATACATGCCGTCGGCCGATATCAGATTACGCCCCTCTGGGGTCTTGACTCCGCGAATGTATCAACCGGAATCTCGACAGATCTCTTCTTTGCGCTATTCTGCGCCCATATTCACAGCTTTAACTTATACGTAATTAACTGACCCTGGCAGCACTTTCTAGTTAGGCTTATCTCTAGGAGATCCCCTCAACCTCCACCCGGGAAAAACTATCCTTGAAAGCCTTCACCTTGTTAGCCTTATCTAGTGCGAGCCGCTGGCCATATTCGGTGGTGAAGGGCTTAATTCTATCCTTAAACTTGTCCCAAGAACCTTTTCCCAGTGACAGCCCCACTAGTTCCAGCCTTACTAAGGTAGTTAGCTGTTGCCTGAAGTCCCGCCTGCTTATTAAAGACAGAGTGAACTTCCAGTATCAAGCCATTCTAGGCCGAGAATCTATCGCCACACAGGCACAGACATGTTTGTGGGCCGAATAGCCTTCTGGCATTCTCTCCTGTGCCTATCTCCAACGTCATCAGCCTATCTAGGACAAAACCGCCAACGTCCATGGGATACGGTAGTGAAGAATTATCGGGACCCTCCCATCACAAAACCTCTTAAGTTTCTTAGGTTCAGGTGTATCCATCTGCGCCATGCGAAGTTCTGGAAAGGCTTCTTTAGCTTCAAATAAACTCACAGATACTTCCAGGTAGTTCCCTAATACAAGAAATCGCTTCCGGGGCCTGAGGGAAGTTGCGGGGATCCTCCACCGACTTCCCGTCGACTGAAGATATCATGAAAAGAAATCCTTCTTTTATGTGGAAAGGCCCCTCTCTACCTCCCTTCTATCAACCTATGCTTTGGGGAAATGTTTCCTCTCCCTCTGTTTCCTGGATGTGTGGGGCGGAGTAGAAGTGGACGGTTGGGAATGTGTGAAAGTGGAGGGGGACGGAGCCCTAGCAAGGGAAGTGGGCAAGCTCCTTGACTTGGTAAGTGCGTCATCAATTTCCGTTGCGGACACAGGGGCAGATTGCTTCGTCCAGCCTGTTTTTCTTTTTTGATGCGCATCTCTTCCTCCTCTTCAAAGAGGAGGACGATGGTCGAGCATTTCATCAGTGTCCATATCGGAATGTAATTCCCTTTGCTGTTGTCTTTCTGCTTGTGTTGTAATTGTTGTTAGTTCTTATGTTGTTGGTGGTCTAGTTTCTGCTGTTGTTTCTGCAGTTGTTGATGGTCTTGTTTCTGCTGATTTTTCCGTTTTCTTGTTGGTCTTGTTGTCAGTGGTGGTTTTGTTGTTTCTGCTTGGGTTACTGTTGTTCTTTTTCTTGTTGCAGCCCTTTTGAGGCAGCCGATGGTTTTCAGGCTCTGACCTCTCCTGGGGTTGTTGTTGTTGTTGTTGTGAGGCCTCCTGCTGGAAGAGGGGCTAGACAACTTCCGTCCCTTCTTTGTAATCTCCCTCCAAGCACCATCGGGAGCCTTGCCAGACACTTCTGCGGTTTTCGCTACTGCTGCTGCTGCCTGGCTAGGCTGACACACTGCTATTTTGCCGGGACACACTTTGGACATGTGTCCCAAAGAACCACATACCCAGCAGTAGGGATGACCGCCTTCAACCACAAAGGGCATAATTTTGTCCTCAAACAAATTAGTAAATTCTGGATCTCTTCAAAGCTTTTCCTTGTCAGCATCACTATTAAGATGAAGCCTCGTGGCAATTTCAGATAATCGTTGCAGTCACCTCCTTCCCATTTCCGTACTAAGCAAAAAACAAAAAAACAAAAATAAAAAAAACATCTGTACCGGTACTCAATAGACATTGTATCGGCACTCCATAGACGTTGATTTTTGTCAGTCTTGTATCCAAATATTCTGTTTAAACGCGGATTGACTTGGTAGTTATGGTACTTCCTGACAACATCTTTGCTTATTCTGTCGACAGCAATATATCCAATAGGGCATTAGATTGCCTTGCCAGAATCTTGGGTCCTGTTTTTGACTCTTCTTCCATTTCTGACACCAATAAGCCTCCGAGTTCCTACGTCGGTGGTCAGCAGGGATATGATCCTTGTTTTTACGGCATTTATTGCCTCCGGAATTGTTAGTTCATTTACTCTGGTGAACTCCACATATCTTTCTTTTAAGCCATTATAGTAACTTGCGTCTTCTGGGGGCCTGTTTTCTCCCCCAGGACGTTCTTTTAGGTGGTGACATATTTTCTGTTTGCACAGCCGGCGCGTCAAATTTTTTTGCTATGGTGGGTCAAACGCACCACAGCCGAACAATTAAAGTTCGACTTATACAATTAAGGCTTATTCACACAAAAAGGAAAAAAAGAAATTAAATTTTCTCGTGAAAAGTCATTGACGAAGGAAAAACCAAACTTAGCTTACAAGAACCTGGAAAAAATAAAAACAGAAAAAAAAAAACAAAGAAATGAATTAATGTTGACCAACGCCAATTAAACACGTAAAAAATAATAAAAAAAGGAAAGTAAACTAGAAACAAATTAAAATCGGGAGGGGGCAGTAAAACACAAAAAGAAATTACACTAAAAAAATAAAGCTTTGTTTACACAAAAAGAAGTACACAAAAACACAAAGAAAGAGAAATTGAAAATAAAATGCAAAAAGTTCAAAAAGTTTCACTGATAATATAAAACGAAAGAACTTAACGTATTTTAAGAGTTCATATAGAGACAAATGGAAAATTCTAGTCAAGCGAACATGCGAGACTAGAAAAGAATTCGGTTGAGCATATTGAGAGCGCCTCCTCCTCTCGACTACGAAAAAGCTAGTTTATGCAGCTGTCTCAGACCTACGCCGACAATTGGCTAATATCTACCCACTATATGTAAATTGCATGCGACACTTACGGTAAGTAGAAATACACGCAACTAACTCTGAATCTCTTATCAGGCTGACCCGATTCTCTGTTACCTTATATATATATATATATATATATATATATATATATATATATATATATATATATAGTAGATAGATACACCTTGTGAACCAGACAAACCTACCTAGGTTTCACCTTAACGGATCGTCAGGGCAGAAGTTCATGTTTGTAGCTCTTCCATTTTTTAAAACCTTTTTTCCTCGAGATTGATTTGATTATTAGCAAATCAAAAATTCGAGGTTTTTAGAAACGAGTCTAGTTATCTATAATTATATATATATATATATATATATATATATATATATATATATATATATATATATATATATATATGTGGTGCTGCAGAAATAGCCCCCAGATATAGCTAGATGGAAATACGTCCCCAAATTAGCTAGATGGAGACATTAGGTATCGTTAAAAATCTATTAAAAAAGACAATTTTATTTATTTACTATATTCACTATATTGAAAAATGCTCTTGTTCTAATACAGTTTGGCATCTTTCAGACAGTAACATAATTTCAACCTCCAGAACAAAGCAAAGAATTCCTCTAGGTATATTTTGCAGTCTTTCAAGGAATAGAATCTTTTTCATCAACAATCTTCAACAAATGTCAACAAATAAAAACGACCTCATTTTTTATTCACGTCACAACAATACGATAAAATCATCAGTTTTGACAGCATCAAATAACTACCTCAATGAAGAAAAATGAATTGTAAATATTGTTAAAAAATGATCATAGACCTGTTTCCAAATTTCATTTTAAAATTGAGAGAAGCAATATGATTCCCAAATGCTATTAGGTTCAGAGCTTTAATTTCAGACATAAATCAAGAACGGTTTTCAGGTTTTGGGAAATAATTGAAAATAACATGGAAAATCTTTTTAGTAAATTGCCAGAGATATTTAAGGAAGCAGTGGCGATAACGTGGTAATCAAATGGATATATATCAAAAACAGGCAAATACTCAGTTCATCGTTATGTTCATATAGGTATTTACTAAACTTACCTTATGAATACTAAGTGAAAATCGAACATACTACACTTTCACTAAACAACATTGTTCAAAAGTTAATCCTTCTTGGCGCGCATGTACTCATATATATATATATATATATATATATATATGTGTGTGTGTGTGTGTGTACGTGACTGAGTGATTCTGACCATGAATTTGGATTTCAATCTCAACATGATCGATTTGTCAGGAAGGTGACTTCTTCATGTTGTCGTTATTGTGATTGAAATTGCGGAAATTGAACTCCTTGGGATCCGTCAGTGATTGTGCTAGCACGAAGTCACAAGTCATTATAACCGAGGCTTTGAGCATGCTAACCTTGTTAAGACTATTTGATCACGCTAGAAACTCGAACTAAGGTCAACGTAGTTGCAGTATAACTGCAGGTAGACTCTGGGTGTGTTTAACAAACACAAATATTCCTGAGCAGGCGTCTACAACATGCATTAGCTAACCGCCCCTATATATATATATATATATATATATATATATATATATATATATATATATATATATATAAAGAATCTTTAGGCAGCAAGTATTTCTCCAAACAAGTTTGATCAAAAACAACCGTCAAGATCTGTCTGTTATTTTTTTCTTTATACAATAAGATGTTAAGTATTTTGCTCGAATTAGTGAATGAATCATCCGGATTTCGATTATCTTGGTCATTATCAACAATCAATGTGGTATCTGTGTGGTCGCTAGAATTGCTTTGTCTACATAGTGCAATTTTTGGCAAGCTGAAGTTTGATATATTCTGGTGTGACACGTCATATATAACGCCTAGTGGGAACGAGGTGGCACTAAAAGAATGCTATTTATTTTATTTTACTTATTTCTTTTATTTTTAATATGCGCACGCTGATTATATATGGGAGAAAATGATATATAAAAAGAAAGTAAATTAAATTGGCTATAAATTAATTAACTAATACCGAAATACCTTTTTTTTTAAAAATTAAATTTAAAGTTTAAAATTTCAGCGTTCTTTCTGCTTCGTGAGCATGTGTAGTTACATCAAAGATCAATTTTAAATCCGATGAAATCTAAAAGGATGAAACGCATCACACAAAAAACTTTTCCACTTTGTCATTAACTTTCCTAATATATATATATATATATATATATATATATATATATATATATATAGAGAGAGAGAGAGAGAGAGAAAAGAGATTACAGTCTTAGCTTTTTCCCTAATTCTGATACACTGTTGACGCTTCTGTCAGGCTTAATAGGCGGCCGCCTTTTCCGTATCCCTCAGACGCATTCCGTCTTCAAAGGAGATTTCCCGCCTTGTTGCAAAGGTCAGATGCAAATGGGCCAGGCTCCGACCCGGTTCAGGTAAAAGGTCTTGGTGTCGACCGATGACCGTACCAGTCACCGTGTTTTTCGAGGATGAGGAAATACTGATACTCTCTCTCTCTCTCCTCTCTCACTCCTCTCTCTCTCTCTCTCTCTCTCTCTCTCTCTCTCTCTCTTAATATCTGTATATCTATTTTTTTTCTGTCAGTCACATTGTGCTTATATCTATCCCATTTTATATATATATATATATATATATATATATATATATATATATATATATATATATATATATTTGCGTGATTCTGTATTTGTTTCTATCTATTTTCCTCTTACTCTACGTTTCTTTCTGTGTCATCTACCTAAACTTTCAGTCAGACTGTACATAACTATCTGGCTGTCTTTATCTTTCTGTCTGTTCCACTCAGTTCATATCTATCTCAATCTGTTAATAATATCTACCAATCATTTGTTCTAGCTGAACACGCTGATCTGGAAAACTATAGACAGTTCATTCCTCGTTAGATGCTCCAAGAATTTGGACTTATGCCGAGCTAGTTTACGAGAAAATAGTTGCGTCATAAAATCTTGATATCCTAATCACAATGTATCTCATAAAATCGGTGAGAAGTCTTGTAATAGCATTATGTTTAGCAAATCCATCTTGCAGATCAAGATATGCGTCGATTTTGCTTAGTCCATAAATCAGTAGAAAGATAGTGTTTCGTCATTCTTAGAGTAGAGAGAATTTTCTATTCATGACTTTGTACTAGGTTGTCACGCATGAAATAACGCACTTATAGGAAACTAGCAGGCTTCCCCCGCTCGCTATCGCTTCGCAAAGTAAGATATATTCACTACTTGAAACATTTGAAACAAAAATTTTAAATGAATATTTCATTTATAAATTGGCTTGTTACAGTTAAGGAAAGTTTTTCAAATAGATGCCAAGTGATAGTCAATAGGATAGATATCAGGTGAATATAGAAAATGAGACAAAATTTCATAAATCAGGCTATGTAGCATTTGGACAGTACATTGAGAAGCATGTGGCCGTGCATTGTCGTGCTGCAAAATTGGGCCATCCCTATTCACAAGTCTAGGATGTGTTTTTTTTTTTCAATTTTGCGTGAATTTAATCAATTTCTCCACGATACAATGGTTGTTGTTATTGTTTTCCCTTGAGGCAAGAATGAATAATGAATAACCCCTTAGAAAGACGACAATACAGTAACCATTAACTTTGTAGGGTGCAGTGGAGGTTTGGTGTATTGATTTGGTGATTCAGTCGTATCTAACCACGTATCTAACCACTGGCCTACTTTCTTATTGTTGTCAAAGAGTATCTATTCCTCATCGCCTGTAATAATTCAATGCAAAAATGGTTCTTTTTCCAAGTTGTACTCATGCAGTAAGATTACTCGACATTGTTTCATTGTAATCATTTGCATTGGGCTTATGGCTTACAATACAGGGTGTGCCCAAAAATTTGACATTATTTTAAAAGCAATTATCTTGAAAATTACTAAATCTAGCTTAATGAAATTGAATAGTTTAGGTGTTGAACATTATAAGTTTATAATGGGACGATTTCATATGTGTACAAAATGTACACCGCCTGTGGCACGACATACGTCAAGTCTGTAGTTAAGTTCTTGCCAAACACGCTGTAGAATGTCGCCGGTATCATTATCCAGTGCGGAAGTGAATCTCTGCTTGAGTTCGTCAATGCTAGCAGGAAGAGGTGGGACATAGACCAGTCCCTTCACACAGCGACAGTTCCGGTGGCCATTTCATCAGAAAACTGTCTTCATCTCCACCACGCCCGATCCATCTCTCTGGCAGGTTCTCATTGAGATAAAAATAAAATATAAAATCTTGATCTGTTTCAATGCATTTTATGAAAATTTGAGATGATTTCAACAAGAATTGCCAAATTATTGGCTTGCGAAATGTGGACAAATTTTTGGAACACCCTGTATATTGAAAGAAAAATTATCTGTAAAGAAAGAAATAAGTCAATATTTTTTTACATACTAAGGAAATAACTTCGTTAGACGACCGAATCAACAACCAACACCAAAATATGTTATTTCACGTGTGACAACCGAATATTTAAACTCGAACCCTGAACTCTGCCACCACTATTCTTAGCCGACGCGTTTCGCCCTCTATGAAGGCAAATATGACGAGAGGACGAAAACGCGAATCACGTCGGCGAAGAATAGTTTTTCCTCTTGTCTTTTTATTCATTTTGTTCCTTCACAGATACACTCCATCTGAAAATAATTTATACACACACACACACACACACACACACACACACACACACACACACACACACACACACATGTGTACGTGTGTACATGTGCGTGTGTGAGTCTGCGAGTGTGAGTGTGTGTGTGTGTGTGTATGCTATAAAGATGAATAAGTAGACAAATATCGAGTTAATTTGACTGGCTGACTGGAAATCTATTATAATGAACGTTATAATATATATGATGATGATGATATATATATATATATATATATATATATATATATATATATGCGTGTGTGTGTGTGTGACTATTTAAAGCAGAACAAATAGGTGATATATACCAAAGCGATTACTGTCCGTCTAATCACGTAGATGGCCCCATGTGAAATGCGTGGGTAGAAGTCAAGAATGCTTTTGATCCATCCCTGCCAGCCAGCGCCCAACACTCCCAACACCACCCACACTTGATAAAAGTCTGCTTCACCCCACTTCATTTCTCTTTCGACCCCGTTTCTCTTCTACGTCAAGGGAGTTCTCTATTTCGTCTTACGGACGTCGGACGCGTTAATTGCTTGTTTTCAGGTTATTTCTCTCCTTGTATGTGCCGTGTCCCTTCAGGACGTAGGCGATCATTACCCTCCACCTCTTTCTGTCCCTTGTAACTCTTAATAAGTTTTGTATATTTGTTATTTCTACCAAACCCTGTTCTGCCATTCATTTGCTCAAGCCCATCAAGTATGTTAGGCGCTGCTTTCCTCTGTCCCTTTTTTCATTAATCTGCCATGTGAGTATCAGATTTTCCAAGCCCTCCTTCCTCATTACATGTTCCAGAAATTACAACTCCCTCTTCCTTATGTTAAGTATAATTTTCTTTTTTGTTCCCATTCTCTCGTTGTTGCCCACATATTCGGTGCATGGTATTCTCAGCATCTTTCTGTAGAACAATATTTCTGTTGCTTTAAGTCTATTCCTCATCCTTGAGGAGATTGTCCAGCATTCAGTGCCATATGGAAGGGCAGACATCACATAAAAGTTCAGTACTCTTTTAAAATCTCATGCCTCTTCCCATATATCGTTTTTAGTTCTGGTTACAAGAAGGGATGTGCGGTGTGGTGTAATTGATATCAAAATGAGAACTCGGAAAGCCGAGTTCAAATTCCAGTCGAGTTCGAAATGCCATTGAGAAAGGTATAAATCCATCTTTTCTCCTTCCAGCTATGGGTTGAATAATAGGACAGACTGGGTTCTTTAGCCTTGGTTGGCAGCCAGTCTACCGTAGAAAGAAATGGCAACATACTGCAGGAAAAATCTTCTGCCTCGTCAATCATATATCGAAAGTTAAATACCACACATGTATCACGTGTGTCTTTTAACTGACTGACACAAGCACGCTAGAAACTGCATCGAGCTTTTTTTTTAGTTTTTTTACTAATACAAGGCCCAGGAGCCTCTCAAGGTAGAGAGTTATTGTGTGGAGTTATATTAGTGTAGGAAAGAACAAGCGTTAGAAGAATAGAGCTGAAGTAGACTTTAGAAGGAATCGGAAACCCAATCCTAAACAGGAAATAAGAGATAAACCTTTACACTTCTTCAAAAGACCGAGGAAGGGTGTGAACCGAAAGATAAGCAAACCCATCTACTCCTAATCGTCTCAGAGCCCTTGTTGAAGAAGTATTATTTTCTAACCTCCAACCTATCTCTTACAGGCGAGCCCTTCTCTGTTCTATCGCTATGGATGAACTACATTCCTTGATTCACGGTTAGAACCCGTCATGCCACTTACATAATAGCAAACCCACCTACATTCCTTCCATATTCCATCGGCGACAAGTAAGTTCCACTCAGTTTCTTTTTGTGAATCACTGCGTCGTGGAACAGACTCCCAAGACGATGTTTTCTCGATCACTACAATCTTAACCTGTCTTCCACTCCCATCCATAAATTTCAATTGCCTCTGAACGTGCCCCTCTACCTAGAGTGGACCCCTGGCCTTTTAAAATAAAATGGAGTTGATTTAATTTTAACCATGAAGCTAAGAGCGTATCACGGTATTGTGTTTGACCAGCAACTTGTACCTTTTGATCTTCTTGATGATACAGGAGGTCTTCCCCAGGTAAGTGTACAGCTAAACGACAACCCGGGTGGGACTGTCCATGCACATTGTACTCTGAGAGAAACTACATGGTTTCTGGTGGTGAAACATATCTGCATGATAAAAATTGCTTAATTTCATCACGTCTTTCTTCTCCTGCTTCTCTTGATTATTGATTCCCTATCATTATGCAGCCATATCCTTTGCACACATATCTGAATATGTATTTAATGCTTTTTGTCGAAGAACATACGTCCAAGTTAATATGAACTTGATATTTTTTTCAGAAGGTACTTGTTGAAAGGCACTATATATCGATTATCTACACGCTCTGTTTGCAAAAGAAATTAATTGTAAATCGATCCCCCAAGATAGCATTTATAGATGTCCTGCCCTTTGTCTGTAACAAATTCGCGAAGATTAAAATCAAAAGAAAAAAAATAATTTTGAAGAGGCATTTGCAGTACAGGGGCGAATCTATCCTTAACAGTTAGGTCACGAAATGCTATTTAACTACTCACTACAAACAAGTGTCTTTATCTAAGATGAACCCCACCCCCACCCGTCTATGTGTTGCATTCTATTTTTCTCTCTCTACATCACTCTCTCTCTTTCTGTTTTTTACTCTCTATGTCCCCTTCTCTTTCTATTTCCCTCTTGGATGCGGAACACAATCTGGTTTTAAAAACAACAAATAAAACTATTGCTACTACATGACAGTAAGGTGTTTGCAAATTTTGGAGTAATAATCTTCCAATATAGTATATAATTTGTATTTACTCAACCCTCCCAAGAGGTCAGGTTGTGGCACAAGATCGGTTTAATGT